GCTCCTCGGCCGGCGTGAGGACGCGGTGTTTTGTCGCGGGATCAGCCCGCTTCCTCCTCAGTGTCCGGCTGGGCTGCCGATTCCTGTCGCCACGCTGTTGACATGCCCTTGTGGGCACGGCTGAACTGAAGCGCCAATGAGTTGCGGCTTTCGCTTGTGTTAACAAAGCTTTTACTCGTGAAATTCTGAGGAAAAAAAATTAAATAACAATCTCCACTGGGGAGGATTTAAATATCTCCGTCGGCCGGTATTGGCAACAGAAGCCTCTACATGCAAAGGGATCACATTTTTATTTGGAAACCTTAGGTACCATTTCAGAGGCATTAGCAGCATTAAGGAACTGGTTTTATTCTCTCCAGTTCACAAAACAAGCTGTTTAGTAACACCTGTACGGATGTGATGATAAAAATAATCATTGCAGAGCCTCCTTTGTCATTTTCCATAATGGAGCTAGGTCATCAACTAATTTTCTTTCTGAAACCTGGAAGGGAATAATGCAGGCACTGATCACTCTGGATCTCAATGAATTTTCAGAAGTTCTCATAAAATAGTTAGAAGCACAGTTGTACTGAAAGTTAGATTTCTGAATTGCTCAAATGTTTTCCCATATGGGTTTTTTTTACAGATATGGAAAATACACATTGCTATCTTAGGATTTTTCCATCAGAATATATTTTCCTGGAGATTTGGTTCTAGGAAGCAAGACAATTACAGGAAGCTAACAGAATTAGTCAATATTTTTCATCTGAAATTTATTTTCCTGAAAAACAAGCATTTACGTATTGTTTTTAGATCATCCGGATTTGGGGAAGGAAAAAAAAGCCACTTTTTGCTTTTCAAAAACAAAACAAAATCAAAACTTTCTCCTTCAGCTTTTTTCTTTAATGACTGGCAACACTTTTTTTTTTTAAGAAAAAAATAAACCCAGGGAATTTCAAATAATCCAAGTGTGCGGGTTTTTTAGAAAAAGGCTGTAAAATTGGCGTATTTTTTTGATCAACTTCAAGAGATGCTCTGGGGCACAGTTTGTCTTTGGCTACAAAGTCTCTTATTTTCCAGTGCTGATGTAAGCAATGTTGACATATGTGCTTCTGTGGCATTTCTCCTAGTTTTATTATTTTCAATCACAACTTCTAACAGTTGTATTCTAGCCATTATTTTGCATAAAAAAGAAAGCAGAAGACTTTTGGCCACATGTTTAATTACTTCTAAAGCTGATACTATCTCCTTTAGTGCTGTCATCTTCCTTAATGTTACTGCATAGTCATTTGTGTAGGTACTAATAGGGGCATTTTCTAGTTAAAAGAATCTCTTTTCCAGCTTTTTTTCCTCCTGCCAGTGAGTTCACATTTTTTATGCATTGTTTCGGAGAATCAAAATATATTGAAAGAGATCTAATTTGAAAAATACAGAGGGATGAGAATTACAATGTTCATGTCTTCTCAATTTTTGGGTTTGGCTTGAGGCATTATTCTATATAAGGTATTTACAGTTCATCAATAATCTTGAATATCTTCTGTTAGTCTTTTTCCCTTCTATTTCCTTAATATTCCAGCTGCCATTTGGAAGATCTTCCAAGTTATATGAGCTCTGATGCATATTATGTCTTGTTTCAAAGCATAACTTCACCTAGAACTTACTTAGCTTTTTTAGAAATATTTCAAGATACCACCTATTTAAATCAACATTTTTATTTATATGTAGTCCTTTTAAACGTCATTTACGCAAATTCCTGAACAGCCTTCAAACTATAGGATACATACAATTGCCTGTAAATATTTGACTGTGCAGTAGTGAAAGTTTGCTTTCATAGTGCCGTCATTTGTAAACCTTTCAGGGATAAAAAGTGGTTAATTTGCACTAAAGACCTAGCTCTTAAACCTACATGAATCATTAAAAGTTAGGCTGAATCTCATGTTCAAAATGAACATTTCTGGTACAATGATAGCCTTATACCTCTAAATCTTTAGGATATGACCTTCGTGCCTCACCTCAGACTACAGGCATGCAGTGATAAGTATATGTAATGCTGATAAAGCTGTAAAATAAAGAACAGCAATAGTAGGCTTTCTTCTGTTTTCTTTTTCATGTGCTGGATAGTGCTGAGTGGAGTCTGTTTCTAAGTATATGCTGGCTCTTTCTTAGAAAAACAATTTATATGTATGTTGCAGTTTCAGCTACCTCTCAGCTGACCTGCAAACTGTCAGATTTTGAAGTTTCTTTCTGTAAAATCTTCCATCAATAACTCGGATTTCATCCTTCAGCATCCATGTAGGTCATTATACATTATGCCTCCCACTCTCCAGGCAAAAATGAGTAATATCTAGGTAATTTTTAAAATAATTAAGTGTAATAGCCAAGTTTTACATGTTCTTATCTAAACTGTCTTGTCTGTGGAGGGAAATATTCATCAGTAATATAGCATGCTACCCATTAGTGTGACCTTTAAACCTCCATACTCCCCTTTCTGGTGGGCTTTGATTGCTGCATTGCCCTTGTAGCCTCTGCACAAATGTCATCTTATTACAGGAACACCTCCATTGAAGTCAATACATGAGTAGGGACTGTTCCAAATTACTTTTATTGAATAAAAGATTTATGTTCACCATTGCTGCGTATAAAATCTGGTACAAGCCATCCTTACCCTGCACTACAAGGAAGTGACTGAATCACATACACAAACTGGTAAGGGGAATATGATTGTTTCTATCCATTTCAGAGAGTAAAGTTTAATAGTGATGTAATTAAGGTCTCCCCATATAACTCTGTGCTTTGTCTATGGTGTTATTGCCAGGGGATTTGATATGTGCTTGCCAACACAGTGTGTTTGGTCCCTACAGGCCAAAATTTGCTGTCCTTACACTCACCGATTGGTACCATGGTCCATGAACTGCACAGCAGAATCAGATATCAAGATTAAAAAAAGTGGTATCAGGCTGAGCTTATCTAAACAGCACTGTAAACCAGGTTGCATCCTTATAAAAGAGCTGTGTTCACACTGGTCAGTTCCTTTCAGCAATGCAGATAGCAGATGGCTGTGGTATTTTCAGTCCATTAGGCATATGCACAATTTCACCTCAAGGTAAGCTTCATCACTGTAATGTTCCTGCAGTTACAGTTGTGCTCCAAACTTGATTTTTGGCAGGCTTCCAACTACCTTCCCATGCTCATGGTGTTTGCACTCAGCCATCTTTGTGTTCCCTTTTACTTCGTGTTATCTGGATGTTTCCTCTGTTTAAAGCCACCACAAAGACAGGCTCTGTACATTCATGTTCCAAAAGTCAGCCTGCCTGCTTGGCAAAACTGTCTTCTTGTTCTGCTCTGTTCCTACTTGTTATATTTTAAACTGGTGCCAGGTAGAGACCTTAGATGTGCTTGCTGTTGGAGAGGCCATGAGCAGGATCCTTGGGTTCCAGTGGCAGAGGCAAGGATGTGCTCAGGGAAATTTAAGACAATGGCTAAGTAAGATCACAAGAGAGGCATCAGGGACTTAAAACTAAAGCTATGAGATGGCATTTAAAGGTAGCAAAGGACCAAATCTAGCCATTAAACAAAGTTCAGCAACACTAGAAGGGATTCAGGAGGATTTGGGTAGTAAAAGCTAACAAATATGTGCATTTGCACACAGCTAATTCACAAAGGGATATTAAGAACAGTGTACCCGATACCTTCTTACAAGAGTTCTCTGATACATAGGATTCTGACCAAAACATCATAGAGATACAGAATGTGAGCCCACCTCACGTTCATCCACGACACAGGAACAAGTTGATTAGCAAGACAAATTAACCTTGCAGCAGCTAGTATGTCAGCCACTGCCCTTGCCACCTCCCTTTCTTTCTCCTTTATTCCCACTTAAGCCAAAACCTCCTGTCACTGTGTTTTCATAACGGAAAGCTATTTTGAACCTATTGCCAGATCTGGCAATAGTTGGACTGCCTTGTGGGCTACCCTCCTGTCTCAGCATAGACCATCCCAGCCTCCTTGGATCCCAGAAAACATGCCTCATTGCAGGTGTGTGTTTAAAGACAACAAAGTGTCCTGCAATTAAATTCCACAGAGCATGTCATATTTTAATCCAAAAAGAATTTGTCTGATTCTCCAGTTTGCTGCAAGAGCTACCAATAGTCATGGATTTCTGTTGTACACCAGTGAAAATCTCAAAACTGCCATTTTTTGCCAGTGCAAATGTAGAAATCAACATTAGCCTTTCCAATAGACAAAAATCCAGCTACAATAAAAGCTATTCAGTACTATTTGCAAGGTACAAATGTTGTTACTCCCAATACAGCCACATCTCAGCTTTTATGGCACAGTATACTTTAAAAGTGCCTGAGGGGGATATGACTGAAAATTGTAGCAACAGAAGGATGCTCTGCTATCTCCCTCATGCCCAGATAGACTGCTTTCCCCTTCTAGATGTATGTAACTTCAGGAGGTACTCCTCTACTAGGAACAAAGCAGGTTTCCCCTGCTTTGGAAAGCAGGGGAAACCTGCTTATTCCTCATAGGAAGGTAGTTCATTAACCTTTGGCAGTGCAAATCATGATTATGGCTTTCAATGTTATAATTGCTTGAAGAAGTGATCAGTGATCGCTGGTCTGCTCTCATCACTCTCCACCACATCCCCTATAATATTGAAACAGGGCTCATCTGGTCCCAGAAGGATCAGAAAGGACTGGAAAAGAGGCAATGAGCCTTGTTCGAGGCACATGGATTATAATTTGACCTCCTTGTGTGCAAAATAAGTCTCGTCTAGCCCTATGAGGCTAGAACATCCAAATTGCAAACGTGCAAATACATGTTCTGTGCTGTCAATTGTCAGCTGTCCACTACCAGAAGCAATGTCTATGAACTGGAAGGGTTTCTTAGGATGCAGCTGTAAAGCACAAAGGAAGAAAGTTGGGAAAAAATGTGGGTACAATGTTGTGGCATTCAAGTTTTTGTACAAAATATTTCGATTTTATATTTGTACGGTTTTATCAAATCTTTTGACAAAGCTTCCTTGGAAAAGCCTGCTGTTTTGTTCTTCACGGAGAAACACAAAGTCAAAATGATGTTTGATTAAATCTTGATTACATGTAGTAATGCCTGTAAACATTGCATAGGCTGGAAAGTGAATCTTCATAACTAAAATTATACTAAGTATCTTGGCTTCACCTGTACGAGGCAGCACAAAGACACAGCTGGACAAATGAAAAAAAAAATCTAGCTTAGGAACCTCTATCTGAATCTATTGGCTCCTGTTCTTGTTCTGGAAAATATCAGGAAACTTCTAGTTACTCCTACAAGAAAATAAGCTCCGCTATAAATATTATATTGTAAAACATCCTCTTAGGAACAGTTGTGGGTGATAAATGGCTCCATTGTGCTGTACATTGTGCTCTGCAATTTTGGGAGATGCCTAGGAGCTTGGTAAGAAGCTGTAACTTGACTGCTATATTTCCTTACGCTCTCTTTCTGCTTAAAATGGTAAATTATTAACAATATGCTAATACAGTCAATTTGTATAATCTAAATGATCTTGTACATAGATAATAACTTACTAACAGAGTGACAGAATGTCAGTTAACTGGACAGTGATATGTAGCTCAGTAACAGTGCTTATCTCCAGTTTTTCCAAGACTGGCAAAAGTCTAAGAGGATGGCACTTCAAAAGGATGAAGATGATTTCACTGTAAATTTTTACTACTGTGAAAACTAAACAGCTGATTGGCTATTATTCATCTCATCTTACAGGGTCTGACAAATCATGTAGGAAATTTGGAGACATATTTTTAAAAAGGCTACATATGCAGCAAATTTCCAACAGCTTGGGAGAAGCTTGAATTAAGGAGGCAGAAGGGGCTGCTTAGCTCAAAGACGATAACCAAACACAAGTGCAGAATAAGATCAGGTAATAGTAATACTGGGGGCTGGTTGTTCTTTTCCAAGAATAAGCACACTTGGGCTGGTGAGGGCAGTGGCACTGCACAAGTATTAGTGTGCCTGATGGACCCTGACTAATACCAATGGCAAGCTCTAAGGGAAAACACGCTGGATCCAATAGTTGAGCCCTCTCACAACAGCCCTGTGTCTACCAACATTAATGACTACAGTGGGACTGCGCCAACCTGTGACAGAATCTGAAAACTGACAGCTCCCTAAAAGCACACCTATTCAACACAGAGCTGGATGTGGATGATACAGATTGGGATGTTTTTTATTTGGTTTACTGCTAGGTTACTGGGCAAAGGTACAGAGGGGACAGAGAGACACTAAAAACGTTTAAATCAAAAGACAGAGAGCAGCTGTGGAGTACTTCAAGATGCAGTCAAGATTATCTCAAGCTGTACTCCCAAGATAGGAACAGCCCAAGTTAGATGACTTAGAGGAATCAACATCACAGTAGTCAGGTCAGACACAAGTCTCCGCTTTTGCTATTGTAATGAAGGATTTGATATTATACTGGACTGTATATTTCCTTGTTTATTCCTTATTCTAACAGGTAGGATATCTCATTCTTAAAGAAGGCTTTTAATGCTAATCTTATTTGCATATTCTCCATTTCTCATCCTTCTTCAGCTGTATGCTCTTCCAGATGTATTCCAAGTTTGGCAATAGAATAAATAGGATAGTTTATTGTGCCATAAGTTATTACATGGATACAAT